GAGATGGAAGGAATACTTTGAAAGCGTGTTTATGAGTGATGAGACGTTTGAATTAAATGAAATAGAAATTCCGAAAGAAGAGGAAATAGATAGAGATATAAGTATAGATGAAATAATGAAAGCAATGAAAAGTATGAAAGCAGGTAAGGCAGCCGGTTATGATAGAGTATCTCTCGAAATGCTAAGGGCCGGAGAAGGATTGGTGGCAGACCTGCTGTACACCTTGTTTAATTTATGTTGGGAACTTAAGCGGGTACCGGGAGACTGGTGCAAAGCCGTGATAGTCCCAATATATAAGGGAAAAGGATCACAGCAGGACTGTAAAAACTACCGTGGTATCAGCCTTCTTAGCATTGTGGGAAAACTGTATGCTAAAGTACTAATTGAAAGAGTTATGAAAGAAACTGATGAAAAAATTTGGGATGTGCAAGCGGGATTTAGAAAGGGAATGGGATGTACGGATCAGGTCTTTTCCATGCGCATGATCGCCGAGAAGTTTTTGGCCAAAAACCAAAAAGTTTTTTGTACGTTCATGGACTTGGAGAAGGCTTATGACAGAGTGGACAGGGATGTGTTATGGCAAACACTGAACTCATTTGGGTTGAGCGCTGGTCTGATACAGGCATTGAAGTCTCTATATAGGGACTCTAGTGCTTGTGTCAGGATCAACGGGGCCTACTCGGACTGGTTTGACATCCATAAAGGTGTCAGACAGGGCTGTGTGGCTTCCCCGTGGTTGTTTAACCTATTTATGGACAGTTGTTTGGAAAATTTGAAAGTAGAAGAATGCGGGTTAAGAATGGGTGAGTTAACCGTCTAATGCCTTTTGTACGCCGATGATCAAGTCATACTTGCGTCGTCGGCAGCAGAGTTGCAAATGATGGTTACATTAATGAACAGGACATTAAAAGAAAAGGGAATGAAAGTGAACGCAAGTAAGACGAAAGTTATGGTTTTTGAAAGAGAAGAAAGTAAAACGATATGTGAAATAAGAATAGAAGGGGAGTTGGTAGAGCAAGTAGATGAGTTTGTATATTTGGGATGTGTGTTTAGCAGGGATGGTAGATATGATAAGGATATAGAACGACGAGTGAATGCAGGAAATAGAGTGAATGGGGCTCTACACTCTATTGTGAAAAGTCAGAATGTGTCCAAAAAGGCACGTATGGCAATTCACAATGCTGTGTTAGTACCTACTTTAATGTATGGTAGTGAAAGTTGGGTGTGGCAGAAGAAGCATGAGAGTAGAATAAATGCTGTAGAAATGCGGTCATTAAGGAGTATGTTAGGGATGAAGCTGAATGACAGAGTGAGAAATTGTTTAATAAGAGAAGAGTGTGGTTTGCAAGATGATGTTGTGACCAGGATTAAGAAAGGAATGCTTCGGTGGTTTGGCCATGTAGAAAGAATGAATGAGGAAAGAGTGACAAAGCAAATTTATGTTGCAGAGGTGAACGGCATAGTCGGGAAGGGTCGCCCTAGGCGAAAGTTTATCGACCGAATTGGCGATATATTAAAAATGGGCCAAATCAAGAGTACCTTTAACCGACGAGCGTGTATGCGTAGGTATATGGATGTGGAGGAAGCGAGAGAGGTGTGTCAGGATCGTTCCAAATGGAAGTCCATAATCTCTGCTTACCCCTCTGGGTGACAGGCGTGAGTGTTTATGTTTTATGTTATTATATCTTTTTTGCAACCGAGTTTTCGAAAATGGCTCAGACTATTTCAATGAAATTTATAATATGGAGGTTTACGGGGGCGAACAATCGATCAAGCTTGGTTTCTTTTGAAGGAATATTCGTTTACTGGGTGTGTGTCGTGATCGCGAGACTATTAAAGGTTAACGTCGAGGATTTTCTTGATCTTTTCAGTTGAACTGCAAAGAGTATAATAACAGTCCCATAAAAGCATTCTATAACCCACTCTAGCCAAAATTGGTCCCGTATGTACAGCAATATTGCTGTAGCTACATACATGCTGAGTCGATGACTATTTTATTTCTTCAATAATTTTTTTATAATGGGGACGAAAGGTTCTCGCGTGGAAGCCTCGTATCGGTAGGCGAAGTGTAGAGCGGCCCCAATTTGATGGAGTGACGACCTGGTAAGGTATACAGGAAGTCTATGGATGCAGGTGGCTCAGGGCCGTGCTTTGTGACATTTTTGAGTATGTAATGATGATGGTAATTTTTGTATTACGTACTTACTTTAAATAAGTTGTAGTTTTTTTTTTTTTAATAGAATTGAAAAATAATATTTTAGGCAGAGAAGGAATACTAGCTCTTGTATATTCTGTGCTACCACCTAGTAAACCTTGAAGGTCGATTTCGATAAAAATTCTTTGTCTCTTTCTCAAACTTTGGTGGGCTTGAACGTCGCCAATGAAAAATTAATCTAACGATCTTTTTGAGTTATTATTATTAATAATTAGCAAAAATAAACACAAATAAAAACGGATAAATAAAAAACGAATTAAAATACATAAGCAACGAAACCACACAAACAAATCTAATCACCTCACACATACACACCCCTTTCACATGCAATTAAATTAAAAACCGAGCTCGTAACGTGAACATTCCAGAGGAAAGGGTTACATATCAAATAACGAGGCCATGTAAATATTTGTTTGACTTTGTTTTATTGGTATAAAAACTCATGCTACTGGTATTATAATGTAATAATTTATATTAAACTAGCGATCCACCCCGGATTCGCACGGTTGATTTCTGCATCTCGACAACAGCTCCACTTTCAACGTGGTAGAGCCTGGCTGCAGCTATATTAATTGTATACTTGTAGCACGAAGGGCTCGGCTCGACCGGAGATGAAGCACACTCTTACAGAATACCACCGTAAAATAGCGGCTTAATGCTGCTGTGTTTCGTATGGTGAGTGTAGAGACTTGAGACCTTTTTACTGGAAAAGAGGCATTCCATCTTAGTCCTCACGGCCTCCCTCCACCTGTGTATCGCCCTCTCCCCCCATTCCGATACGCAGAGGCCATGGGGCCAGGAAAATCGAGTGAAAACCTCAGCGGCGGATCTGGTCTTTAGCTCAGCGCCAACCAAGTTTCGGCCGCGGAAAATAGAGCGAGCGGCGCCTCGCAATACCGACACTGCTCTCCCCCCGCGGCCCCACCACAAACGCATGAACGGTGCGGCCCCGTCTGAGTCGCGGAGGATAGGGCGAGTAGCGCTTCGCCATACCAGCACTCCTCTGGTTAGTAGCAAGTTTGCCATATATTTTAACACCAAATGCTTTCTCTTAATTGAGAGTATGTGCTCTTCCCCCAGTCGAGATGATTAATGCAGCTACCATTATAAATTAGTGTGGATCAAACACTTAAAAAAGTTCCATTTCACCAAGGTGAAATGCCACCAAACACCACAGGTATCCTATTTTCTGTTTCGTTTTTAAAAACTATTGTATAATAATATTATTATCAACATCATCATTACAGTCATTCCACAGCTGAACATAGGCCCCCCACAAATAATGACACAAAGCTCAGTCTAAAGATACCTGAATCCATCCACTCCCTGCATTTCTTAGCAGGTGGTAATACTATCTAGTATGGAGCCTTTATTATGATATATAAAACTTGATTTAGTATTTTGATGTTCATTAGTGCATAGCACCAACTGTTTAATAATTTTACGTCTGAAGCCACCGCTATCCTAAACCCTATTAAATGCAAGTGGGTAGCATTTTACATGACACTACAGCAATCAGTGAAAATGTATTAGGTCTCTTATGAAAACAAAGTTCATTACAAAATTATACAACAGGAATGATTACAATCATAGACAAATATATACAAGAAAATATTTTCTATACAGGATATGTTTTTTTGTAGAATAAAGGAGACAAGCAACACAGTCCACCTGATGGTAAGTGGTTGCTGTTGATCATAGATTTCTACATCTATCCTCGAATACGAATCAAGATGTCTATAGATGTGTTGTCACCAGTGAGGACTAAGATGGAATGCCTCATTTCAAGTAAAAAGGGTCTCCGATTTTCTACACTCACCATACGAAACACAGCAGCATTAAGCTGCTATTTTGTGCTGGTATTCTGTGAGTGTGGTCCTTCCCCAGTCGAGGTGAGCCATTTGTGCTAGAAATATACAACTAATATAGCTGCAGCATGGCTCTACCACATACAAAACATGACTCTACCACATACAACATATTTTCACATAGCTTAAAATTAGGTATACTGACTTGCCCTAGCCAGTATAGTAGCGGTGTAAGAATGTCTACTACCCCATATAGTCCCATCGGAGTTGTTAAGGTTGACAGAGAAAAACAAACCAGAAGATAGGCACCAATGTCTTCCTTAAAAGTTTTTTTATTCTTCCTAAAAATAACTAAAAATATTAAATTACTGCAGTTGCCAACCCACCCTACCAAGTATGTCACTATGGCAATAATCCACTTTTTGATGCGGGGGATTTACGGGGGGGCCTATGTTGACCTGTAAAGTATAACAGGCTGTAATGGATGGAAATATAGATGACTTGCCCTAAAACAATAGCTTAACACAATAACATAGTTTCATGTCAAGTAACCTACCTATTCAAATGCGTTTATTTTTGTACATCGCTTTCTTTCTAGTCTTCTTTTTTAAAAATATGCTAAGAAAGTAGCCACACAAGTTTTAATTTTCGTTCTGGAATCATAATAATATAATATAAAAAGTACAAAAAATATTTAACAGAGTTAGAAAATAATAATAAAAATAAATTTGTAAATAATTATATTTTTGGTAAAAATGAATAATAATTTGGTATATAATAATAATTTCGTAAAAATGAAGAAATATTTTTAACAATGCAATGGTATACTTGTACTTGTTTGTACAAGCAAAAACATTACATGGATTACGGTCTCTACGACTTTTAATTAACAATTATAATCAACTTCAGTTAAAAGTTAAGGTTTACAAAAATTTCAGCAAAAATGTTGGTACTGCTAAACATTTACTCCTTCACGCCTACTTCGGGTTAAGAAGCGCGCTTGTCAGTGTGCGACACTCAGAAGCGGTCTGGCCGGTTCTCACAACTCCCACACCACATGACACGACCAGTTTCTGGCATGACCAATTGTATTGCACCGATGCTTTTAATTATCAAAAAACAATTTCAAATGTTTTAACACCAAAAAATAAACAAATGACCACATGAAGAACACAGATAAATGTCAATCTCAAAATTAAACACTTTCCTGAACATCTTTGTAAATTAAAAATATACTTCTTATTTAAATTATTAATTCTAATTGAATAATATATTTTATTTTTACAATAATTATAAGGCATATATATATATTACTTAGTAAAATAACAAATAAAGAGGCAAGGGATATTTTATACCTTCATTGTCGTTGTTTCCTTCGGCGTTCTGCACCGAAGCCACCAAAATCCCGACGCACAACAGGCTCAGCAATCTCACAATCATTTTAACTGATCAAATTTGAACACAGTTCACAGTTTTATCGAAATAACAATTTATACACTCGTCATAATCAACCGATGTCACTCGCGCCGCAGAGCAGCAATACAACGATCGGCTCTTCTTTCGCAAATGGCGGCGGATGACGGATCGGATGTGTTCATCGATTGCATTCGAGTCTGCGCGTTTAGAAGCCTGTTGATATTTACTTTTTGTATAAGGCAACACTGAGATTTTTTTTTATCTGTTAAAATCATTGTATAATCTATTAGTAGTTATTAGAAAGTGACAGTTAGATTGCAGGACTTTTTTCTGCTATGCTTACAAGTTAGCCATAAAAGTATAAAAGTAGTCTTACTCCAAGTTGCAGTGATTGCGCCCCCTTTTCCCTAAAGGGTGTCGCTTCCGATTCGGCAGAAAGGCCACACAGACCAAAGCCAGTCCCACAGGTGGTGTTTAGTGGGTAGACACTTCTTAGTAAGTCCCACATAACTACGCTGCCGGCTGCATGGTATGCTATGAGTATTCACCACCTCCCTCCCCTGCTTCCTGAGGTTAGCCGTGCTATGGGCGCAAAAAAAAAGTTGCAGTGCACCCTGCACTCACTACTGTGTTCTGGTTTGAAGGGTAATACAACCAACTTATTAACACAATATCAAATAGGTATTTCATCTCAGCAGTCCTCAAAAGTGACAAGAGAAGTCTATAGCTTAGCATATGAGTTGGACGCAGTTGTAAAAATAATAGTAAAAAATGTGTAATGGTAAATTAATATAAATTTTTTATAAATTTTTTCTTTAAAGAAAAAAATTATAAATGTTAAATTATGAATAATGTAATAGATTTTTTTATGAAAACCTATCAAATGAGTTAAATATTTAACAAATAGAAGATCTACCATCCATCTTGACACATTGACAATATGAAACGTATATTTTGACGGAGTGTCATGGGTCTACTCAAGCCCTAGGGGTCGGGGTCCAGGCAAGATAGGAAACAAATGTGCGGTGTTTTTGGTATAAGTTATTTAATTGTAACATAAAAGCCTACAACAACTCTACACTACAAAACAATTAACTAAATAGTTTTAAGCACAAAAAAACTACAAATTATCCTAACTCTAAGATATGTAAGCACTAAAATTTTAACTAATTCTACAGCTACGCATTAACTAGAAAAATAAAATGAAATATAATAAAACGTAAAATTTACCACTAGCTCTTTTACTTTAGTAAACAAGACTTATAAATAAAGTATCATTCCAAAAAATGCAAACTTAATAAGCATTAAAATTTTTGTTTTTCGAACACTGTAGGTAGCATTTTGCAGCACCAGCTCATATGTTATAGCAATACTCTATCAATAAACAAAAAGTGCACTCAAGCACTCTCGCAAGACTCTGATGTGTAGTGGCTTAGCAAAGAGTTACAACGCTGGAACAAATATTTGTATGGTCTATAAATAATTGTTCCAGGTGTGTGTCCTTGTGCAATTCATTTTTGAAAACTGCCTCCACGATACAGCAGGAAATGATAGTATGGAGGTAACTTTTTTTTTAATAAAAGTAAAGTGAGTAAGTAAAAAAGCCATTTGAAATGCGGTTTTTTAAACATTATCTTGAAAATTACGTAAGGTATGGGAGATATTTAAATAAAAATTGAAAATTTATTAATTTCACGTAAAAAGATCTTATTATCTTATCATTTAACCCTTATAATTTGATTGTAAATGATGAAACTTAAAGAGATAGGAAATAAAATGCTGGGATCTTTGTTTGTATAAAATTGCAAGCTAAAGAAATTTTGTTGGAAACTTCTTTATATCTCCCATAATTTATGAGATAATCATAATAATGCATTGTAATAATCAGTTTTTCGTTTGTAATTTTTTTTAAATCTATTTAAATTCTAATAAAAACAATTGGAATTAATATAAATTTGACGTAAACCCATTTTACCTATATGTACCAAAAAAGTTGTTAAACAAAACACCAAGAACGAAAATTTCAAAAACAATATTATTTATTGAATTAAATGAAAAGTGTGAAAATGGGCAATTATTCAGGGTATCTTTTCTATTCCAATAAACTGGCTGTCTTTATTGCTGTGAAAAAAAAAAGTAAATATAAAAATATGTTCTAACGAACAAGATTTTTTAAATTTATTGTTTATTCATTGAATTTTCGTCAATTCATAACAATAATTACTATTAATTTGAAGTAAGCTTTCTACCTACCGACTGGTTAAAGGTCAAGGGCGTTATAAATTTATTCGTACTAGCTACGTGTGACATGTATATATATCAAAGCTACGCGTATAGCACATGATTTGGATTTCGTAATTTTAATCGAAAAATTTAAAGTGAGAAAGTTTGCTTTAAAGAATAATTGGAAAACTATCTATGCAATAGACTTCTACTTCTATCACCTATACCCTGTTTTTTTCTTCACGGCAAAAAAGTCTGTCGGTAATTTATAAGGTAATATTGTTACTTGTGGGTGGGAGAAAATAGTCTATTTTGTGTTTAAGGCTTTCTGTACAGAAATCTGAGAAATAGCAATATTTCTGTACACAAAGCATAGGCGTAATATGAACTTGTTGAAGCGACAGCGTTGTTTTTTTGTCGTTTCAAAAATGTATTATAAAGGCTAGTTAAAAAAATATATTGTAACATAACCTACCGCTAGTACTACCTAAAAATATAATAAATTGACTTGTTCTGTCGACTTCTCATTTTTAACAAATTAAAGCTGTGTGATAAATGAATTACCTAAATTTTTCGTAAAAACGTCACCCAAACAGACATACAAAACGTTTTGAGCTTTCATACATAGTTATAAATTGAAGTTTTCTTTTTGATAAATATGGTAAAATTGCCAGTTTGATGTTAAAATGCAGTTAAATTTTATTAGAAAAATTATGTATGTATTTGTTAATATTATTCTTTATTTTGATAATTTGATATGGCAATACTGGAGTTTCGAAAGTTCAATTTCGCATGGCGGACGTGCAAGTGGGTTCTGTTTGTTGGTGATAATTTTAATTATTATCTTGTCGAGATTCCTTATGGAAAGAACAATTCTTTTACTTCTATTTCTTTGCGGACGTGCATTATTTATTCCTTAACATTAGATAATGCTAAGTGTTAGTTATAGTTGAATTTGTGAGAACTGCATTGGTTTTTTCTTAAAAATGGGAAAATGTGACGAAGCTAATGTCGAAGTTAATATGGGGGACTCGGCGTCCCCCATGAAGCCTGATAATTTCACATTCACTGTACCCCCAGAGGCGCCTGTGTTCGAGCCAACTCCTGAAGAGTTCTTGGATCCATTGGCTTACATTAGTAAAATAAGGCCAATCGCTGAGAAGTCGGGGATTTGTAAGATCAAACCCCCCGCAGTAAGTAGATTTCTTTGTCATGGATACTTGAATTTTACTGTATTTGTTGCAATTAGTCAATATTTGTTGCGAATTGACCACTGTATTGTGTTTTCTAACCCCAAAAGTAACACAGAAATGTCCTATGATGCAACAGAAGTTACTTGTTCTTTGTAATTATGAACTGTATTCATTTTGGTTTTGTCGTTAAAACCACAATTATACGTGTCAAGGTACCCTTTTAGTGCATATTTAGCTGTGCATCGCGTTTAGTTATCGACGACTGCACTCGCATATTGTTGAAACACTCAGGTTGCCATTTTGTGTCGTGCACTCCTGCCTACGATACTTTAGATAAAAAAAGAACTAGGTATTGAGACTTTTTTGTCGTAACTAACTGTAATCACCTCTCCAAACACGATATCAGAGTTTATTTTGACAGGACTTGCAAAATTTTTACATTCTCTTTACATTGGGACAATGCATTTTAACACTAAAAATATTTGCATTGATCATATTGATCACATGTTATTAAATTTGCATCCATTACAAAACAAAATATATTGAAATGTACCTTGTATGAGGGATTATCTATTCAAATTTGCTTAGTTTACTTGTAAAAACCCATTCTTACATAGATCTTATCAAATGCCAGTATCTTTCTGTACTATTTTTAAAATGCCTTTTTGACTAATCAATGTAATTTTGCTTTACATATTATATTTTTTTCTGGATATAAGGAGATTCAAATTCATATGCACTTATTAGGAACAATCTATTTTTAAATTTCAAACGTTTAGTATTAGTAACAATGGCCACTTTTGAAATAGTTGTTGCCTAATTATGAGCAGAATCTATGAATTTTATACTATGCTTGAAAACTTGGATTTTTTCATTTAAAACTATCTCTTGATGCAATAAAATAAGGCAAAATTATCACTAATAAGGGTTTGCACATGTGTATATTAGAGCTTTAATTCCTTTAAAAATAAATATTATAGCAATTGTTTAATACATGTTATATAAAATAATTTAAAAAAATCTGCATTCTACTGACCAGGATTAATTACTAAATCTATTTATATGATGTTTCATAATCCTTGTTTTGTTGTATATATTTGGAATGTACATGTTTTTATGATTCTTAGAAAGTAGTCAAATACTCTATTGAACTAAATTTCACTGCTGTTATAGATACTTAAATATATTATATACAAATTTATAACAATATTTTTGTAATAATATACTGTTTAGTTGGTCCATTGCCTAAAATTTTATATTGGATTATGTAATCCATGTATAATCCTCCATGCTAGTACCACAGAAATCATTCACTGCAGTTTTAGGGTTAATAAAGCACGTAACAGGAAAATGTTAAAAATGTTAAAAAATGTATCAAAAGAGGTGTTATTTCTATTAACCATAATTATTGTGACATTTGATGACTTTAAAACCCTTGTTACAATACCGAATAACCAAGTTGGGCAACCAAAAGGGATAACTGCAGCTTAGACTAATTATACATATGAAAAAATTTAACCCATCATCATCTCATAATTTTTTGTTTCCTCCTCTCAAACAATATTGATTTTAATTTTTTTTCAAGAACCAATATTGGAGCATTATGGC